GGGACCCGGAGAGAGTGAATGTCCAGGGGATGGAGTGATTGTGCCAACTTCCGGAGAGGTTCAGCAACCTGTCCAAAGTCACACAGCTCATAAGCAGAGGTGTGAACCCATACTACGGCTGGCCACAGGTGTAGTGTAGGTTCACATCATGGGCGATCATGATGTCACTGGATGTTACATCCTGCCTCTCCTTGGTCAGAGCTGGAGCTTCTTAGAGACGGTCCAATTGTGCTCCTGGCTTTAGAGATGGGAACCTGAAGCCTGGAGAGGTCACAGAGCTCTGCACGGGGATCCCACTGCCGGCTCAGTGCTCTTCCCACTGCTGCCTCTGGGCCAGGTGCTCAGCGTGCTCATCTTTCCTGTGGAGTCGTGGGAAGCGGGGGAGGGCATGATGCTGCAGTCTGCCTGCATGAGGGTCAACCCCACTTGTGTCACTTAGAGCCCCGAGACGGAACCTCTCTGTGGCCCAGTCTCCTCCCCAGTAAAAGGGGCAAAATAGAGGAAAGCATATGTCTGAGAGGATGAAATGAGGCAGGACAAGTCAAGGACTTAGGAAGGTGCCTGGCACGTGGTGAGTGGGCTGTGATATCAGGTATTACTGCATTATTATTGTGCACAGCATAGGGGTATTTATTTACCTCCAGACAAATCAGCCAGGTTTGGGGGCCTCCCGTGTGTCCTGTGTTGTCCTCATCAACCTCATGAGGATGTGACCTGGGGATCAGAGAGAGTCTCCACTCTTCTCACAGCACTGTGACGGGCACAAGGGGCACAGAGCCGTGAGGAAACTTTCTGTGCCTTCTCAGACACGGAATGAAATCTCCATTTCTCCTACAACCTAACCATGTTTTATTTAACATTGTCCTTTGAAATGATTTCTATTTTCTTTCACGTACTTGTATGAAAAGTCTTTCTCTCTACTGAAAGTGAGGGTCTGTCTTATTCCAGACCGAGAAGATTGACAGAGAATCATTCACGTTTCACTGAGGGGTCCCTTTCTTGCTGCCCACGGTGGGGCTGGCAGCTGGCTCTTAAATGTCCAGCAGGAGAGAGTGGTGTAGACGGACCCAGACCAAAGGCTGCTTGTCACGGACCTTCCCTTTCCCTGGGGATGCTGAGTGGATTCAGTCCCCAGCTGTGTGACCTCGGGCTGGTCACTTAGACTCCTGTGCAGTGCTGTCCTGGTGTAAAAACGGCTCATGCATAAAAGGGTTTTCCTTTCCAGTTGTTGTGAGTGTGCAAATCACGAGTGATGGAAACACGGCCTGGCACACACTAAACGCCCTGGAGCTCTTAGGCATGGTGGAAGGGAAACAATCCCTTTTCTTGCTGTGTTATCAGAGTCGTCTCCCTCTCACCTACTATGAGCCCTCCGGGGGGGGAGGGGGCGGTTCCACACTTTGGATACTGGCTTGAGTGGGGTGTACTGGCAGGCTATGGGGAGCACTGGATAGTCTTATAGAAAGGACTCGGGCACATATACCCCTATATCCCTCTAGGTGGGGACTGGAAGGAAGGAAGGAAGAGGCAGAGGTCTGTGTCCATCCTGCTGTAGTGGACTAGAGAAAAGGGCTCTAGGTCCAAGGTGCAGACAGGGAGAAGAAATGGGGGGTGGGATGAAAAGGTCACATTGTAGTCTGTTCCTCTGCACACGACTCCCTCATGTTGCTCTCTTGCTCCAGCCAAGTCAAGGCCGTGAGCACCAGGCTGGGGCTGCACACGGGCTCCGGAAAAGGGCGAATATGAGGACAATCGCGCTGGGGCAGAAGGCGAGGACCCAGAGGGTAAGAGTTCCAGGAACGTTCGGGGGCCGTAATCGCTGCCACCTCCGAAAAATTGGGAAGAGGCGGGAGAGGAGGCTGGGACAACAAGTGCGCCCTGCACGCAAGCCCCTCTGTGCGAATGGGCGCCAGAGGCCGGCCCCAAGGGGGCGCACCCGGCACAGCCGTCTCCGGGTATCCTGCGCCCGGCCCGGCGCGCACAGCCCAGCCCAGGGCGCTGCGGCTGCGCGGTCGCCACGGGGTGGGCAGCAAGGACGGGGCGTGGCCTTTGCGCCCGGGCCGCCGCCTCCGCCTGGAAAGGGAGCAAGAGAGCTTCTAGGGTCTGCCACTTCTTCCAGGAGACCGAGTGAATCCTCATCACCAGCTCTGGACCTCAGGATGCCCCTTTCTCAGCTAGGGGACAGTGTCCCTGGGGTTAGAGGAGGGAGTGTTTTGAGTTTGAACTGAAGTGCACTCCTTCAGTTTGTGTGTCTTGTGCTTTCACCCTGACCTGGCTCCTGAATCACCCTTTAGAGCATTTCCTGCCCTCCCAGCAGCTTCTGTGTCAGAGGGGAGAGGCCTGAGGCTCAAGGCTGTCCTGCTCCACATCTCACAGGTGGTCACGGGGCTTCTGGGGCCAGCCGCAGTGCTCTGTCGAGGCCTTTGAGTTGCCTGTGCTGGTTGGAGGCAGAGGACATGGCCTCTGCTGGGTTCAGCCATGAGGCCCTCTGGGGTCAACACAGGAGAGCATCTGGCCATCCTGGCCTTGAGGAGAGCCAGTGAGTGAGACTTCCACCTGCCCTGAGTGGGACAGGAGCTCCCCTGTCTGGCCTGTGCCCTGAGCAGGAAGCATGTGTGGACCCACTGCTGTGTCTGCATCAACCTCCTGGCTCCCTGCCTGGCTTTCCTTCCTGGCAGGGGGCTCCTGCAAATGCAAAGAGTGCAGATGCACCTCCTGCAAGAAGAGTGAGTGTGGGCCCTTCTGGGGGTCTGGGGTGGGGCTGAGGCAGAGACAGAACCCAGAGCTCAGCAGGCAGGAGCAGCCAAAGAGCCCGCTTGCTGGCATCCACTTCCCTCAGCAACTGATTCAGGTCAGACCTGTAAGAGCCATAAGGTGGTTGAGCCCCAGCCTTCCTTCAAGAACAGGGAACCTGAGTCCAGATGGTGCTAGTCCTGGTACTGGAGCTCGGTCTCCTGCCTCACGGGACAGCTTTCTTAATGCTCTCAGGGGCTGAAACACTTCATGGCCATGACCTAGTCACCACGGTGTGGTTCTCTGACCTGCTGGTGCAGCCGTGTCCTGTCCAGGCAGCCTGAGCTTCCCTGGCCCTGCTGGGCGCTGCTATGGCAGGGGTTTGCCCCCTCTCTGACCTTGAGGACTGTCCTCACTTCATTTGATGGTTCTGGTGGGCTGGCTTTCCATTCCCCCAGGGGCCCTGTCACTGCCTCTCCTGGTTTTACACCCTGTTCTGGACTCACATGGTGCAGGGCAGCCTTTTCCTAGTGGGTAGGAACTTTTCCAGAGGTTCTACCTATTCTCTCAGGACAGAGCATGCCACCCTCACCTCAGGGTCCCCTGAGGCAGAGGGCAGAGCTGGTGCCAGGCCTGCTGTTGGGAGGGAGGTTCTGGTAACATCTGCTCTGTCTTCCCCCTCTGCCCTCTGTTCCCCAGGCTGCTGCTCCTGCTGCCCCAAGGGCTGTGCCAGGTGTGCCCAGGGCTGTGTCTGCAAAGGGGCATCGGACAAGTGCAGCTGCTGTGCCTGATGTCGGGGAGAGCCTGCTCCCGATGGAAACAGAGCAACACATACACACACACACACATACTAACACATACAACCCTACTGCTTTAAACATTTCTTGATACAACGCTGACCTTTTACAGCCTGCCTGTTTCTATGAAATCTGTGAATTCCAATAAATGTTGTTGACTCTATTCTGGCTCTGTTTTCCATTTCTTGGAAATAAGGGACTTCATGCTCATCATGGCTGGGGTGTGAAATTGGACTAGAAGTGCAGAGACCTGTGTTCTGGACCCAAAGAATAGCCCCTAACCAACCACGTGCCAGAAGCAAGTCAGGATCCCTTTCTGAACTTCGGTTTTTCGATGATAAACGGGGAAGCATCGTCCAGATGACAGAAGGGCATGGGGCAGACACAGGTTCCCCTCTACTCTAAGTGTTAAGTGTTGACGGCATTGTATCTTCTCAGTGTCTCATTTTCGGTCTCTGAGGATCCACTGCCCAACCTCAGTCCTGGGTGATGTCAGCCTCCAAAGGACTCAGGGGAGGAATTCCACTCCCCACTGTGTGCCTTCTACACGGGGCTTGCTTCTAAACCTCTGTGCTAAAGGCCTGTTTTTATTTTCTAACACAGATTTCAAACTTGGTCAAATAAAATGAATTCCTAAGAAACATTAAAAGGACACAACATACAAAATGCATTTTTAGATTGAACACATCATTTCAATAAATACATGAAGAACAAAGATTAAAAACACAGAATTGGAAATGCTGCTCAAAAAACATTTATGTGATGTTACAAACAAGTGTTACCTCAATAAAACAAAACAAAAAAACACTGCAACTTCTTCCCGGAAGGTGTGCACTGAACACTGGAAAAACTCACAGGTGCCCCCCTGTGTGGACCACGCACACCTTGTGTGGAACCGCCCACGACATCCCCACAGGGAACCCTCCCTCTTCCTTGCTCAGGGCTACGGACGGGACATCTGCTCCCCTGAGAGCTCCTATGGTGACTCTGAATCTTTGCCAGTCCCTCCCTGGGTCGGGCTGAGATCGGCCCCTCCTTCCAAATCCAGCTTCGGCTCCTGGAAACCCGCAAAGTGACGGGGGATGCGGAGGGAAGTGGCCCAGCTATTTCTCACTAACAATGGACCCGAGAACTGGTTCCAGGTGAAGTACTTCCTGTCCACCCCAGCCAGGGGGATGGTGGATTCTACAGCTTGTGGGCGTGGTGGTCTTTATTAGGCAGGAGTGAGGGGCTGAGAGACTCCTAATTCCCACCAATGGTTAGCCCCCCTGGCTATCTGTGCAGGGAATTGCTATTTGATGTTCCATCAAAGAGAAAGGTGAGTCACGTGGCCCAGGAGGCAGGCCCACGCTTGCCCACAGGTGCCCTGTGAACAGGGGATTTCAGCAGCCAGCCTGTGCCTAGCCCCCGAGTGTTGGTGTCAAGCAGGTTTCCTCAGATCTAAAGAGGAGATTACATGTCAAGGTGAGGAATTAAGGGAGACAGCATCCTGGCTCCTACTAGGGCTTCAGACACGGGGTCCTTAGGATCATCTGTTCACAGGGACTTTCCTGGAGACGGAATCCTGTCCCAACAGCGTCTTGGGGAAAGGCTCATTGGTTGGAAGCATGACTCTGGGTGGAGGTTAAAGCTGGGATTGGAAATTTAATGACCCAGTGGCAGGGGAGTGTGGATGACCCAGAATAAGCCCCCAGGGACAAGACGCTGCCATGGCATTTGGACAGACACAGAAGCCTTTCCACCCTTCAGGTCTTATGGTTTTCACACAACCCAGAGACTGAGACAGAAAACAGGAAGAGGCTGGAGTGACTGTGCCATCTTCCAGAGAGGGTAAGCAACCTGCCCAAGGTCACCCAGCTGGAAAATAACAGGATGAAGGAAGCTATGCTACAGCTGACCTCACCCCTGGCCACGGCTGGCAGATCACGATGTCACTGGATGCTACATGGTGCCCATCACAGTTAAAAGCCGGAAGGATCTTGGAAACGGACTCCCTTTGCCCTTGGTTGAGAGATGGGAACTTGAAGCCCAGAGGGGTCACAGAGCTCTGCACGGGGATCCCACTGCCGGCTCAGTGCCCTTCCCCCTGCTGCCTCTGGGCCAGGTGCTCAGTGTGCTCGTCTTTCCTGTGGAGTCGTGGGGTTTGGGATAGGGCGTGATGCTGCAGTCTGCCTGCATGAGGGCCAACCCCACCTGTGTCACTTAAAGCCCCCAGACGGAACCTCTCTGTGGCCCAGCCTCCTCCACTGTAAAAGGGTCAAAATAGGGGAAAGCATATGTCTTGGAGGATGAAATGAGTCAGGACAAGTCAAGGACTTAGGAAGGTGCCTGGCACGTGGTGAGTGGACTGTGACATCAGCGATTACTTCATTACTACTGTGCAAATACTCCAGCATAGGGAGTATTTATTTACCTCCAGACAAATCAGTGAGGGCTGGGGGCGGGAATCGTTGCCACCTCCGCAAAATTGGGAAGGAGCGTGGGGGAGGCTGGCACAAGTGCGCCCGGCACACAAGCCCCTCCGCGCGAATGGGCGCCAGAGGGTGGCCCGAGCGATGCGCACCCAGCCCAGCCGCGCGCGGGGAACCAGCGCCTCGCCCGGCACGCACAGTACAGTCGAGGGCGCTGCGGCCGCGCGGTGGCCACCGGGCGGGGAGCAAGGACGGGGCGGGGCCTTTGCGCCCGGGCCGCTGCCTCGGGCTGGACAGAGAGGAGGCCGGCTTCTAGGCTCTACCACGCCTTCCAGGGGCCCTAGGGAGTCTTTGTCACTAGCTCTGAGCCTTAGGATGCCCCTTTCTCAGCCAGGGGACTGTCTCTAAGGTTAGAAGAGGGAGCGTTTTGAGTTTGCACTGAAAGGGACTCGTTCAGTTTGTGAGTCTTGTGTTTTCATCCTGACCTGGCGCCTGAATCTGCCATTAGAGCATTTCCGCTGCTCCCAGCAGCTTCCATGTCAGAGGAGAGAGGCCTGAGGCTCAAGGCTGTCCTGCTCCACCTCACCCACTGGTCAGGGGGCTACAGAGCTCGGCCCCAGTGCTCTGTCGAGGCCTCTGAGTTGCCTGTGCCGGGTGGGAGGCCTCTGAGTTGCCTGTGCAGGGAGGCTGGGACACGATGTGCTGGACGTCACAGAAGCCGCTGCCCACGATCAGGCACCAAAGACCCCCTCCGCGCGCCAGAGGGCCGTATCTCGCGACGTGCAGGCGCCCAGCTGTGCTGGGGGAATCCTGCGCCCGGCCCGGTGCGCACAGCCCGGCAGAGGGCGCAGAAGCCAGGCGGTCGCCGCCGGGCTGGGAGCAAGAACTGGGCGGGGCCTTTGCGCCCGGGCCGCTGCCTCGGGCTACGAAGTGTGCAGACGGGCTCCTAGGCTCTGCGACGTATTTCCAGAAGTCCAAGTTAGTCATTCACACTAACTCTGGTCCTCAGGATGCCCCTTTCTCAGCCAGGGGACAGTGTCCCTGGGGTTACCGGAGGGAATGATTTGAGTTTGAGCCGAAGTGCACTCCTTTTGTGTGTCTTGTGCTTTCCCCCTGACCTGCCGCCTGAATCGGCCTTTAGAGCGTTTCCCCTCCTCCCAGCAGCTTCCATGTCAGAGGAGAGAGGCCTGAGGCGCAAGGCTGTCCTGCTCCACCTCACCCAGGTGCTCAGGGGGATTCAGGTCCCCGCCCCACTGCTCTGTCGAGGCCTCTGAGTTGCCAGTGCTGGTTGGAGGCAGGGGACATGGCCTCTGCTGGGCTCAGCCATGAGGCCCTGTGGGGCCAACACGGGAGAGCATCTGGCCATCCTGGCCTATGGGGAGAGGCCATGGGTGAGACTTCCATCTGCCCTGAGTGGGACAGGAGCTCCCCCGTCTGGCCCGTGCCCTGAGCAGGAAGCATGTGTGGACCCCTGTCTGTGTCTACTGCATCAGCCTCCTGGCTCCCTGCCTGGCTTTCCTTCCTGGCAGGTGGCTCCTGCACCTGCGCCAGCTCCTGCAAATGCAAAGAGTGCAGATGCACTTCCTGCAAGAAGAGTGAGTGTGGGCCCTTCTGGGGGTCTGGGGTGGGGCTGAGGCAGAGCAGGGAGCCCAGAGCTCAGCAGGCAGGAGCAGCCAAGGAGCCTTCTTGCTGGCATCCACTTCCCTCAGCAACTGGTTCAGGATCAGAGCTGAAAGAGCCATAAGGTGGTTGAGCCCCAGCCTCCCTTCAAGAACGGGGAACCTGAGGCCAGGTGGTGCTAGTCCTGGTACTGGAGCTGGGTCTCCTGCCTCACGGGACAGCTTTCTTAATGCTCTCAGGGGCTGAAGCACTATGGCCATGACCTAGTGACCATGGTGTGGTTCTCTGACCTGCTGGTGCAGCCCTGTCCTGTCCAGGCAGCCTGAGCTTCCCTGGCCCTACTGGGCGCTGCTCTGGCAGGGGTTTGCCCCCTCTCTGACCTTGAGGACTGTCCTCACTTCATTTGGTGGTTCTGGTGGGCTGGCCTTCCATTCTCCCAGGGGACCTGTCACTGCCTCTCCTGGTTTTATGCCCTGTTCTGGGCTCAGATAGTGCAGGGCACCCTTTTCCTGTGGGTAGGGACTTTCCAGAGGTTCTACCAATTGTCTTGGGACAGAGCATGCCATCCTACCCTCAGGGTCCCCCAATGCTGGGGGCAGAGCTGGTGCCAGGCCTGCTGTTGGAAAGGGAGGTTCTGGTAACATCTGCTCTGACTTCTCCCTCTGCCCTCTGTTCCCCAGGCTGCTGCCCCTGCTGCCCCGTGGGCTGTGCCAGGTGTGCCCAGGGCTGCATCTGCAAAGGGGCATCGGACAAGTGCAGCTGCTGTGCCTGATGTCAGGGACAGGCTGCTCCCGATGGAAACAGAGCAACACATACACACCCTCATACTATGCGTTTGACTGGGTTTTAAAAGATTTTTTGATACACCCCTGTTTGTTTTGCAACATTCCTGTGTCTATAAAATATGTGAATTCTTGTAAAAGCTGTTGACACTGCTCTGGCTCTGTTTTCCCCTGTGTGTCTTGGAAATAAGGACTTCATGCCCATCATGGCTGGGGTGGGGAATGGGATGGGAAGGACTGAGACCTGGGTTCTGGACCCAAAATCTAGCCCCTACCAAAATGAGTGCCTGAAGCAAGTCAGGATCCCTCTCTGAGCTTCAGTTTCTGAGCTAAGAAGGAAAGCATCATCCAGATGACAGAAGGGCACGGGGCAGACACTCGTTCCCCTCTATTCTCAATGTAAGTGTTGATGGCATAGAAACTTCTCAGTGTCTCATTTTCGTTCCCTGGGGATCCCCTACCCAACCTCAGTCCTGGGTGATGTGAGGTTCCCAAAGTCCTCAGGGGTGGAATTGCACTCCCCACTGTGTGACTTCTACACAGGGCTTGTTTCTGCAACACTGTGTTAAATGTCTTGTTTTTATTTTCTATCACAGATTCAAATTTTGGTAAAATAAAATGAATTATTAAGAAAAACTTTAAAAGGACAGAGCATACAAAACTAATTTTTAGATGAACACGTAAATTCTATAGAAGATGAAGTGCAAATAAGAAAAGGAGAGATTTAGAACACTGCACATTGGTTCATCGAAGGTGTGCACTGAGCACTGGAAACAACTTACAGAGGCCCCTGTGTGTGGAGCTGGAGCCACACAGCCCCCAACGTCCCCACAGGGAACCCTCTCTCTTCCTTGCTCAGGGCCACTGACTGGACACCTGCTCCCCTGAGAGCTCCTGTGGTGACTGAATCTTTGGAAGTCCCTCCCTGGGTTGGGCTGAGATCGGCCCCTCCTTCCAAATCCAGCCTCGGCTCCTTGAAACCGGCAAAGTGACCAGGGTTGTGGAGGGAACTGCCCAGCCATTTCTCAGCAAGAATGTACCCAAGAACTGGTTCCAGATGAAGTACTTCCTGTCCACCCCTGCAAGTGGTGGTGGATTTCACAGTTTGGAGGGCGTGGTAGTCTTTACTAGGCAGCGGTGAGGGATTGAGGGATTTGCAACTCATGCCAGCTCATGCCAAGTGTTAGCCCCTCTGGCTCTCTGTGCAGGGAATTACTCTGAGATGTTCAATCAAAGAGAAAGAGGAGTCACACGGGCCAGGAGACAGGACAACTGTGTGTGGGCCATGCTTGCCCACAGGTGCCCTATGTGAAGAGGGGATTGCAGAAGCCAGCCTGTGCCTAGTCCCCGGGTGTTGGTGTCAGGGAGTCGTTATTTACAGCCCTCTAGGCCACTTCCTGGCCGTGAGGGGTGGGTGTGGGGGTCACATCCACCACCTGTCTCTGCACACAACCACCCAGCTCCAATCCAGCCAGAGACATGAGCGCCAGCCTGGGGTTGCACACGGTCTCCGGGACAGGGCTAACCTGAGGACAATGACGCGGGGGCTGGGGCGGGGAAGACACCCAGAGTTCAGGGTCTGAGTTCCAGGAACACTTGGGGGCGGGGTGGCTGCCCCCTAGGGAAAATTGCGAAAGACACGGCAGGGAGGCTGGGACACTATGTGCCTCCCGTCACAGAAGCCCCTGCCAGCCATCGGGCAGCAAACGGCCGGCCGCCGCCCTGTGCACCAGCCCCAGCTGCGCTCGGGCATCCTGCACCCGGCCCAGTGCGCACAGCCCCGCCTAGGGCGCTGGGGCCGCGCGCTCGCCAAGGGGCGGCGAGCAAGGACGGGGCGGGGCCTTTGCGCCCGGGCCTCCTGCTCTGCCTATAAAGTGAGCACAGGCGCTCCTGGGCGCCACCGCGCCTTCCACTAAGCCCGGTTATTATCTTCGTTACTGTCTTGGGACCTCCGCCCTCACATCAGCTTGAAATGGACCCCAACTGCTCCTGCCCCACAGGTAGGGGACGCCGGGCTCTGAGGCTTAAGATGCACCTTTCCCAGGCGCAGGACACAGCACCCTGGGGTGGAGGAGGGAGTCTGAGCTGAGGTGGCCTCCTTCAGTTAGCACGTGCAGTGCTTTCACCTGGCCAAGCTCCTGAGAGCATTTCCAGGCTCCTGGGCCTCTGTCTCAGAGTTGAGGGTACTGAGGCTCCAGGCTGTGCATCTCGAGGTCAGGGAGCTGCTGCGCTGGGACCCAGTGCTGTGTCCAGGCCTCAGAGCTGCCAGGACTGGGTGGGAGCTGGGGACGTTGCCTCTTCGGGCGGCAGGACCTAAGGCCCTGGCCCCAGTCTCTTGGGCTGGCTCTGGAGCCTGGGAACCTCCTTGTGCAGTAACATCAGGAGAGGACCTACCTTTCCCAGCAGCAGAAGAAAGAAGGGGAGCTTCTCTCTATGTGCCCACAGTGGGACAGCAGCTCTTAGGGCTGTGCTGACAGAGGAGGGCACACGGAGGGTTTGGGGACCGACTGCTGTGTCTGCATCAGCTTCCTGACTCCCTGCCTGGCTTTCCTTCCTGGCAGGTGGCTCCTGCACCTGTGCCGGCTCCTGCAAGTGCAAAGAGTGCAGATGCACCTCCTGCAAGAAGAGTGAGTGTGGGCCCTTCTGGGGGTCTGGGGCGGGGCTGAGGCAGAGCAGGGAGCCCAGAGTCCGGCAAACAGGAACAGGCCCATGACCCCTCTTCCCTACACCCCTGCCCTCAGCACCTGAGTCAGAATTGGAGCTGCAAGAGCCCTGGAGATGGTTGAGCCCCAACCTCTCATTCTAGAATAGGGAAACTGAGCCCTGAGAGGTCACCAAATAGTGTCAAGGATGGAGCCAGACAAGAGCCTTGGTCTCCTGTCTCCTGATGCAGCCTTCAGAACCCTCCAGTTTTCTGAGCACTTTATGCCTCTGAACTTGGGGACCACGTGTGGTTTCTCTGACCTGGTGGTGCAGCCCTGTCCTGTGCAGGCAGCCTAGGTTTCCCTGGCCCTCCTGGGCGCTGCTCTGGCAGGGGTTTGCCCCCTCTCTGATCTTGAGGAGTGCCCTCACTTAATTTTAGGAGTCTTGGAGGTGGGGAGCAGCCCCCCTCACCCCCGATACTGTCAGTGTCTCTCCAGGCATTCTGGCCTATTCTGGACTCGGATGGTGCAGGGCAGCCTTTTCCTAATGGGTAGGACCCAAAGGTTCTACCTATTCTCTCAGGACAGAGCATGCCACCCTAAACTCAGGGTCCCCCAAGGCCGGGGCAGAGCTGGTGCCAGGCCTGCTGTTGGGAAGGGAGGTTCTGGTAACGTCTGCTCTGACTTCTCCCTCTGCCCTCTGTTCCCCAGGCTGCTGCTCCTGCTGCCCCAGGGGCTGTGCCAGGTGTGCCCAGGGCTGCGTCTGCAAAGGGGCATCGGACAAGTGCAGCTGCTGCGCCTGATGTCAGGGAGAGCCTGCTCCCAAAGGAAACAGAGCAACACATACACACACACACGTACACATAATAACACATACAACTCTACAGATTTAAACCTTTTTGATACAATCCTGACTTTACAACCTTCCTGTCTCTATGAAATTTGTGAGTTTGAATAAAAGTCGTTGACTCTGTTGTGGTTTGTTTTTCTTTATGTGTCTTGGAAATACGGGACTTCATGGCCATCATGGGCGGAGTGAGGAATTTGGGTTGTAAAGTGCAGAGACCTGTGTCCTGGACCCAAAGACTAGCCCCTAAGAAACCAAGTGCCTGAAGCAAGTCAAGATCCCTCTCTGAGCTTCGGTTTCTCAGTGAAAAACAGAGGCATCGTCTAGATGACAGAAGGGCAGAGCACAGACAAGCTTCCCCTCTACTCTTACTGTAAGTGTTAACCATAGAAACCTCGCAGTGTCTCATCTTTGGTCTCTGGGGATCCCCTGCCCAACGTCAGTCCTGGGTGATGCGAGGCTCCAAAGGACTCGCGGGTGGAATTCTCCTCCCCCTTTGTGGCTTCTACACGGGGCTTGCTTCTAAAACACTGTGTTAAAGCACCTGTGTTTATTTTCTAACACAGATTTAAAGCTTGGTCAAATAAAATGAATTCCTAAGAAAAACTTTAAAAGGACACGATGTACAAAACCCGTTTTTAGATTGAACACACATCATTTCAATAAATATATGAAGAACAAAGAATAAAATCAGATTTAGAAATGCAGCTCAAAAACAAATTTACATAATGTTATAAACGAGTGTTAATAAAACAAAACAAAAAAAGAGCTGGAATTTATTCATGGAAGGTATGCTCTCAATACTAGAATAATGCAGAAACCTCCCTGTGTGTGGACCGTGCACAGCTTGAGTAGCACAGCCTCCGATGTCCCCACAGGGAACCCTCCCCCCTCCCTGCCCAGGGCTACTGATGGGACACCTGCTCCCCTGAGAGCTCCAGTGGTGACTGAATCTTTGGAAGTCCCTCCCTGGGTCGGGCTGAGATCGGCCCCTCCTTCCAAATCCAGCCTGGGCTCCTTGAAATCCACAAAGTGACCAGGGATTTGGAAGGAAGTGGCCAGCCATTTCTCAGCAAGAATGTACCCGAGAACTGGTTCCAGATGAAGTATATCCTGTCCACCCCTGCAGGGGGTGGTGGATTCTGCAGCTTGGAGGGCATGGTGGTCTTTATTAGGCAGGAGGGAGAGGCTGAGAGACTCCTAACTCCCATCAACGGTTAGCCCCCCTGGCTCTCTGTGCAGGGAACTGCTGTTCAATGTTCAACCAAAGAGAAAGACAAGTCACAAGGCCCAGAACACTGGACCACACTTGCCCACAGGTGCCCTGTGTGAAGAGGGGATTTCAGAAGCCAGCCTGTGCCTAGCCCCTGGCTGTTGCTGTCAGGAGTACCTGGTTCACAGCCCACCAGTCCACTTCCTGGCCATGCCACCTGGGTAAACCACTTGACTTCTCTGAGCCTCCGTTTCCTCAAATTTAAAGAGGAGACTATGTGTCAAGGTGAGGAATTAAAGGAGACAGCATCCTGGCTCCTCGCTAGGGCTTCGGAGACGGGGTCCATTAGATCCTTCTGTTCACAGGGACTTTCCTGGAGATGGAATTCTGTTGACTCCTGACAGTGTCTTAGGGAAAGGCTCATTGGTTTGGAAGCATGACTCTGGTTGGAGGTTAAAG